TTATGCAAGTAGCATTTGCATAACAGCAGGTATCCCATGGAAGCTCCTCCTGGGGTTTATTCCTGGGAATAGTCTGACCTGACCTTAAAGTTGTTCTTTGTGCAGAGCCAGCCCACCCTTTCAAATGGGATAAAACTTGGATGCAGTTGAACCCACTTAACTGTTGGGTTTTTTTGACTTATTCAGAAGATGGTGCAGTGTGTTTGAGACAAGTTTCCAGCAAACATTTTGCCTTTTTTAAAGAAAATGGTGATGTTTGGGAAGAGGGCTGTGACTCTTTTAAATATGTTCTGACTTGACCCACACAGTTGTAGTTAGCTATCAGCACAGGTAGGCCCAAAGTGTAGTTTTAAAATGCTCCCTTTGATCATGGGCAATTTACAGCAATACAGAAGACTTGACTGCTTTGGAGTTATGGTGAACAGGCRGGAGAGCTTTATATCTCTCTGGCCCAGGTACCTCAGAGCCAGTAAAACCTGCTATGAGTCCCTTGCATGTGTAACGGTTATTCAACACTTATCTTGAGTTGAGGTCTTCTAAAAGCCCCTAGTGGCTCTGCCTTTCTGCTCCCTTCTCCTTCTAAAGCTCTCTATTTCTTATTCATTTGCATAATAAGCATAGTAGCTGATAAGATAAAGCAGGTTGCTTCTACTATCTGTTAGTTCTCTAGACAGGTGACCACCCTCGCCTCCTATCTGGCAGCTGCAGATAATACCCTGGAAAGTGTTTTTTTTTTTTTTATGTATTTCCAAGGTAGCAAAAAAGATGTTAGCTCTGCTGAATCACCCAGCTCTTTACCTAAGTGTACCAATAGGTGCTACGTCATTGAGAGAAGCACTTCAGAGCACCCCTGTGGTCAGTCTGGCCCTCTCCTCCCTCCCTGTGACAACCGTGCTACTTCTTTTGTCCCCTCAAGAGCAAACACAGAAACAGCACGGAGCTCCTYGCTGGGCTGGGCTGTATGTGGCTTTTGCAGATTGGGGTGCCTGGAACTCCTGCAACTCCTGCCAAGGATTTCCTGCCTGTATTTAAAACACATTCCACATGGGTCTCCAAGTCCCAAATATCACACCCTTCACTTTAAAACCTCTTCCTTCCCCTCGCCATGGACTGGCAAATATGAACAACTTTTTGAAAGAATTAGTATGCTTAACTCTCCAGCAAAAATATTTGATGGTGAGTTTTCTGGACTTAAGAAATCTTGCTGTTTAAATTGTTGTATATTTATTAGATGGATAGGTATGTCTAGAGTAAATTTGGTTTGCACAGAACATCAATATTCACTTTATGTTTTTAAAATAATGTTTAAACACGATATTACTTCGATGACATTTTCACATACAATTATGAATGATACATCAAGCAATTTGTATGTCTAAATTTTTTTTCTCAGCAAATTAAGAGGTGCTATAGATTACTAGTGGATRCTTAGCTGTTGGATTGCAGTCTGAGTATTTGGAGTATTTGAAATTTCACTATGAAAGTGAAATTTCATAGTTAATAAATTAACTGTCAGTAACCTGTCAGTAGACAGCGTTTCTTATTTGTTTTGGATTAATACAGACCCCATTGAATTCAGGGAGAATTTTCCTCTAGACTTCATTAAAATCAGAGATTCATCCTCCTGTTGTAAAGGACCTTTAACAGCTACTTAGAATCTTGTCAAAAAAATGTGTTTGAGTGAAAATGATCCCATAATTCTTTTATTAAGACAGAATGATAATGGGGGAGGGGAAGTTTTAAATGCTGATTTTAAAAGAACTGCTGTATGAACCGTTCTAGTGCTATGGAAGTAAAATTCTGGCTTGAAGAGTATCTCTAGCTCAGATAACTGAGCTAGAACCTTCTTTGCCTTCCATCAGTAAGTACAAAGAASGGGTAATTTTGTTTTAATCAGATGTGTAAACTAGGATATGCAAAGGTTACCCAAGTCTTAATGCAACACTAATACCAAAGGTATGCTGATGAGTCCCTGTGTTGTCTGGCTGTTGTCCGTGTGCCTGTACGCGGAGCTGGCAAGTTTTCCCTTGGAAGCTGTGAGCTCCCAATCAGATAGAGGCGCAAGTGACAATGCTYCTTAGGACTCCTGGAGCTAGAATATGAATATATACTTTTTACTGTGCGCTAACAGCAATTCTATTTCTAATGACCCCTGATTTTACCTCACAAACTATTAGAGATGGCTGCTGTGTGGCTTTTCTTTTTCTGTATGCTGTAGAAAATCCAATCGTTTTGAACCAAGAATCTATTTTGTGACTCTGTTTTTCAAACCTTGCACATTAATGAAAAGCAACTACTGGAGAGCACAGAGAGCCTCACAGAAAGTGGCAGTGATTACATTTGTGCAATATTTCAAAATCCATAGTCAAGTTTTCTTTGCTATGCATTTTACAAGACACTCTACAAGTTTTGTTTCATGCATACTTAATAAGACATAACTAGGAGAATAGAATACACTAAATTTTTTGAAATTACTTAAGAGACTCATCTGCATACTGTTAGGAATAATATAATTATCCAGGACCCATAATGGTCCTGGGATGGGAAAAGGAGATTATTGATAACAAGCAAAAGCCACTTCTTCATCCAAAGAACTCATATAAAAAAGCAAAGAGTGTAGACTAGTTAGTGACATTGGAACAGACCCAAAATATTGCACCAAGATATGTCCTGGTAATACCTAAATGATATGCCACCTTTCGTACCATAAGGAATTCAGAAAGGACATGGAAGCAGCCCTAACTGAAACAAGTTCTTTGCAGCTTTTAAGACATGTTGAGGCAATAAGATGCCATATAGCCTTATGTATCATCCTTTCATTTAAAATAGGTAAAATGAATTTCTGGAGGTAATTGACTAAACTTCACTAGGTCATGTTTGTCTACTGCATCCTTACTTATCTCTTCCRCACATCTACAGGACAATCAAGAGCCTTTATCATTCATTATGCCCAAGAGGGTTTTTTTTTTTCCAGAGATGCAGGTAGAAGGATACAGTTCATAGGACAATGGGATGAAATGGAAAATCTTGTTTGTAATTCTGCTTGAATTTTCATTCATACAACTAACTCTGTTAGTAAGATAGATATAGGCATCCCTTCCTTTGAAGTTTGCGGATGACAAGTACTATGTTAAGTGACAACATCTTTTTGCAGATGACATGAAACAACATCCTCAAACTATTAGTAGACAGATAGGAGATGAGCTGTAGTAAAAATAGTCAGCTTTGTTATGGACATTTGAAGGAAGATGTAGTCTTTTGAACTTATAAAGAAAATTAAATTTTCAGTGCTTAATATAGAAAAATATAACAATATTTTGGAAAAATGGTCATGTTGCTTAGAAATATCCGTTAGAATGATTTTTATTAAAGGGATGAAAGTACTAGATGGGATGATACTAGCAATGGTGTGGTAAATTCATCCATGTAGCACTCCCAGCAGCTGTGGCTCTGGTGCCCAAGGGCAGTCTCCACAGCAGACAGTTCCATATTTTAGTGATTTTGATACTTCTTTTACAAAAATGAAGTTCAAGATCAGTTTTGCCTGAGGGCRGATAACTCTGTCCTCACTCGTTTCTTTTCCAAATAGTAGACCTCCTGCCTATTCTAACAAAAAGATACATTATCTCTAYATTGAACCTGCTTTTTTCCCCCGCTTTGCTCTATATGCCTTATTATTTTTATATCTTGTATTACTGTTTGCAGTTTCTCTTTCTTTACTTGCTGTTTCTCATCCTCATATATGCTATTTATCTGACAATGCTGCACTGCTGTGTGCGTATTTTGTCATTTCTATTTGTTGATAAAGATCCAGAATTTCTGTGTGTTGGCAAAGCTATTTCTCCCAATTTATCGCCCATGTGGCCTGAGTGCCTTGGTAAGGCATCGTTGTGTCCCATTGAATTGGGCTGGATGAATGTTATGCCATCTGTACATGGACAGATTGTTGTGCTTTATGATCCCTCTGGATAGAAGTTCTTGTAACAGGAGTGCTCACTTTGGTGTGGCAATAGGAGGCAGCAGATATATTGTTGGGAAGTCTGGGTACATGATGCTTTTGTGACAGGAAAGGATACTGTGGATTACTGGGGAGAGGATATTGGGAAATTACCTGCAGGATTTTGACCACCAGGGAAGCAGTTTCATAAAGAACCAGGGCTCCTCTCCAACAGGTCTCTGCATTATCCCAGCATAGGCCAGTATTTGATGCTTTGTGTGTTTCTGACCTGTTGGCTCTGTGACAAAATGTTTGTGTAAAAGAGGAAGGCGTAGGTGTGTTCATAATGTAAAACAGGAGGTTTGCATCCTCACCTCCTGAGCAAACCATTTATATTAGCCAAATATCAAAATAACCTAATCAGAACTGAACTCTCATTGTACCGTATGCACCTGGAAAAGATAAGCTTTTGCTCTGAAGAATGTATATATTGCATTGGTCAGAAATTCATTTCAGACTTTCCTTCATGTTCAGCTGGATTGATAATTGCACAGAACATGCCTGGGATATATTTCTTTCTGTAAGAGTTTCTCCTAACCCTGTGTCCACTAGAGATATGTCTCCTATTCCCTGTATCCACTATTCTGTCTATCCCTTTGGGTGTCTAAGACAGGAAAAATCAGCCCTTTTTTKGGGGCTAAAACAGTGCTTCTCTTGTGAGTCATATTCCTAGTTCAGTTGCAGTTAAGGTAAGAATAYGAGTAAGAGTAAGATATGGGGCAGAAGCCTCCAGCAAAGCTTTTTCACATACAGATGATATTAGTGAAACAACTTACATAAATAAGATCTATAGCCATCTACATGGCTAAACGTAAGACCAACAGCATACACAGTGGTTTGTTGTCTTATCTCACATTCAGTTAAGCAGAGGCTGTTGTGATTTCAGCAGGAGTGAGGAGCCCTCAGGAAAAGTTTGCCTGTGTCAGCACTTGTATGTTAGAGAGCTCGCCTGAAATAGAAGGTGCAGAATACAGTGATGGGTTTTCTTTTTACTCCTCTACAGATTGACCATCTCTGCTGAATGTCCTATGCAGCTGGAAGATTTCCCCATGGATGCACATGCTTGTCCATTAAAATTTGGAAGCTGTAAGTTTCTCTCTTAAATAAGAACRACATTGATATCTGGATTAACACGTTCAGTTGTGTTTTGCATGACTCTTTCACCTCTCCTCCACCTCTCCTTTTTTAAGACTTCTCATGTATGCCCACAGGCTGCAGTCCCGGTTACTAGTTTTCCATGATTGCGTTCCACATCTACCACATCTGCTTTTCATCTCATGTTTTCATGATTCTTGATAAACCATCTTGATTTAGATGGTKGATATATCTTACATACGCATATCAAATGTAATGATCAGTGTTAGATGGAATAGTTGATAATCTGTACGTTTTAGGTTTGTAGAAAAAATGGAGCTTTCTTTAGGAAATAAGAGATTGTTTGTCGTATCATACATGAATCAGATTGCAGTGTGATATTTACATCACATACATTAAAAGCGATCTTGAATATTAGAACAGGAAATATCTTTCCATTTGGCTTTAATAAATCCAGTCCTGTTATCTTGTTACATGATTTTGTGTACACATGTATTTCTATATATGTGCATGTTATTCTCAACTGTATGCTGAATGATGATTTTTCCTCAATTCCAAGCCTCTAATCCACCATACTGCTGCCTTGCCAGAAGCTTACTTTAAAAATAACCTTAGAGGATTAGGTGGTTATATTTAAATACAAAGCTCTTAATTAAAGTACAGATGAGGCTACTACAGTAGACATTTTTCATTTCAGTAATCAAAACAGAGGTTCCAGGTTCAATCAGAATTGATAAAGACTTGAAAATTACTAGCCAAGACATTTTGCTATTCCCTGAAGAAACCTAACTGCAGCATTTTCTGAKTTTTTTGTTTGGTTGGTTTTTGTGTTTTTTTTTTCCTATTGTATCAATTTAGATGCACTAATCCTACCAAGATTAAGCTTTGCCTTTATCTTCTGTATCTGCACTAGTTTAATGCTGCAATGCATTGTCTTCTAGTGATCACAATAGGAAGTAAAAACACTGTTTACAGTAATAATTATCAAGTTATCAAACTTAAAATGAACAGATTTCCCTTCCCTCCTACAATCTAGATAGACCCTGTATCACATGAATAGCCACCCATATTTTAGAAGGTCACTGTATATTAAATGAGTTCATTTGCTTCAGCACCATRAATTTGCTGCACAGCCAATATGAATCTGAAGGCCTTGCATTATTGCCTTACATCTAATTCAATAAATTGCAATCAAACACACATTTCATTCCTAACTTAAAAAATGAGTAGATATTTCACAGAAAATTGTGAGTGTATGCACATAGGGCCAAATAAAATCTACTGAAAAAAAAAAAAAAGACAGAAAGAAAAATAAGCCATTCTTCTTGGTATTGGTATTTACTATGGTATTTGATATTTACTATGTTAATAGATAAAGTTGAAGTCATGTCATATTAATCTTTAGCTTAAAGTGTAGTTTAGAGATGCTGGATAATTTTATGAGATCTTGCAAGATATGCTATTTAAAACTAAAGGATATAGATTTAAACAAAGACCCTGATCCAGCAATGTTTGAAGCTCAAACTTAAAGTTAAATGAATGCTTCAATGAATCGCCAAACTTTGGTTCACACTCTAAAACACTAAGACAAAAACAAACAAACAACAACAAAAAAAACCCCAAAACATAAGTGCTGGGATAAGATAGCAGGTTAGGACAGCAAGGATAGGATAGCAAGGTTACCGTTATGAGGTAAACTAACAAACGTTTGGAATGTAGTACTGTCAGTAACATTGAAAAATAATAACAAAAGCCTGTCTAAATGCAAATATATGTTTTGCTTGTGCCGGATGTGTAGGGTAGAGAACATACATCACATAGGTACTTTTAATCCATTCATGTTTGATTTTAAACGAAGAGTCACATTTCAGCTACGTGAGGGCTGAACGCTGTCTTTGTTGTTGCTACCTGTACACAGTGCACAGACCTACAGAATATATTTCACAAGCTACTGCAAATTATCTTTAAGTTCTTCCAGAGTGTATAGACATAGAACTACTTGGCTTATGCTACCGCTTGCTTTTTGGTGTGCGGTAAGTACATATATATGGACAAGCTGAAGACAATCTTTCAGCCTTGTACATGTCTTTATTGTTCACCTTACAGCTCGTTAGTACTTTCTTGTGATTTAGCATGCAGATGTTTGCACAAACATCACCCAACAAGTTTATTGAATCATCCCAGTTGCGTTTTAGGAGAATGCAATGTTTATTCCCTATTTACTGTTGTAAATATGGGTTTGCATTAACTCATTATCATTCTTTCAGCAAGGCAAAGCTTACAAGGGTGTCTTGGTGAGTGTGCCCTTTCTGCTTTTGCTTTACTTCCTGTCTTTCCCYGAAGGACTTATTTTTAATGGGCTTCTTTCCAAGAAGGATTTTGAAAAGCCTCAAGGAATAGCATCAGAGTAAATGTTAAACACATTATCAACAGAGCAGGGAGAACAGAGAGGAGACAAATGTTAGCTGGTCAGCGGGTGGAGAGAGCAGGACAGCAAAATAAAACAGCCGCTGCGSGGTCAGATAAGCAAGAATATGGAATCCAAGCAGCAATGGGTGCAATCATTGCAGACAGTAACTGGTTATTATTTTTTCTCACTGCATGAATGCTCATCTCACTACCTGTAATTCAGCAAGCCAAACAAAACAAACAAACAAACAAACAAAAATATTTGACATTTCCTTCAATGTTAAAGAGAAGTGATGTTGATCTTGCTCACAGAAATAAGGGCAAATGTTGTTTTCTTATGTTCCATTTACTTTTGACTGGCTTCTTGATATGTTACAATTCTGGGAGATTTTATGAGCTTAGGCAACGCTGTATAAATCAGCAGAATATTTTGTAGAAGTAATTCAAAGCAAATTGAAACGTAGGGAAAGAGATGTAACATAACACAGAAAAATTACCAGCCTAGATATCAGCCTCAATACTTGCAAAGCAATTCAAGTGCTGCAGAGGTAATACCTCTAAATGTCCTATGACTGGCCATGATGAGCAGTGATGGCTGCAGTCCAAAATTTCAAGCTTCTGATGAACCAAACAGATGAGATTTTGGTTCTCTCCCTGTCCAGCACAATGCCCCAGTGCTCTGAGGTGACAAGGCAGACCCTGCAGTGTGGTCAGGTTGGACCACTTCAGCTGGGTATGTGTACTGACTCTTCAGGCTTTCATCCTGCTTGGTGATAAGGCTACCTGGAGAAATCTTGATAGAATGACAGGAAGATTGAGGATGGCCCATGGAGCCAACCTGTTGGGGCTGAGCCCCTGTCACTGTTGGCAGGCTCAACTCTGTGTGTCATGTATACTCAGTAAATATGGCCCTGACAATCTGCTCGTTACATCACTGCAAGGTGGCAAGGATGCTAGCTTCTTCCAGGGTTGAGTTAAAAATAAACTTTCTGTTGCAATTCTCATGGTGATCCACACTCTAAATACATTTGCGGATCAAACAGGATCTGAAAAAATTTCTTGAAGCCACCTAGAGTTTCACAAGCTGTGTCTTAGCCTAAAGAAATTCCTCCTTGCCCCCAAGTTATTTTTGGTCTGGGAAGGAGGAATTAGATACGGCAGCGAGGACCTTAAAGCTAGGAAGCTTTAGTGTCTCACCTCGTTGACTGCTAGGCCTTAAGAGTACATTAAAAGTATCGTTTAGTACAGCCTCCAAACACCCATGTGTCAGTAGGTAGGTAAGCATCATTATCTCCAGGGCAGCTGAGGCAGAGAAGTTAATTGACTTTCCGTAAGGTCACACAGCAAATCAATGTCAGGAAAAGGATTAAACTCAACTTCTTTGATTGGAGGGACAGATGTCTAATCCACTAGACCGTGAAGGCCTATGCCCAGGCAACTGACTTAACTCCTAAATCTCATTTTGCTCATGTGTTAATTATATCAGTTTTACCTAAGTCAGAGGGTCGCCCTGAAGATGAATGAGTTAATTGCTATTAGTGATTGCAACTAGTACTTTGAAAGCATCAAATATTGTAAGATTCATCAACTGTGTATTTGGAAGGCACAGCTTCCAAGTATGCATATTTTTTTCAGATCTTGTATTGTGGAATAGATGAATGCATAAATCTTCTGCCCAATAGTTGCTTGACCATCCAAAATTCTCCTGTTTTGCCAGAAAGTGGAGATTCTACTGAATATTCTGGAAATAAGGAGCTCCCCTAGCTCACAAGCAATGTTTTGGGAAAGCAGGCATGGCTTCTATTCCTGATGAATTTCATTTGGCCAAGGAGGTGGAGAAGACAGACCATTGTACATCAAGTAGCGAATTTGTAGACCAAGAAAACAGAGCTAAATAAAATTTGTAGCATCTGAAGAGGTTATTTAATCTGGTTTATGTAAACTCCTTTCTTACCAGAGCACAGTGAGACATGGTGTCTTCTGTTGTCTTGATTAAGGGAAGTGCACAGGCTATTTCTGTAGCAGAAGGCAGGCTCAGATTATTTTCTGCTAAGGAGGTCTGTGATGTCAGAGTGATGAGGAGATGGTAATTTCACCAGTATCCCAGGATTTATTCCATCAGTGTAGTAATCAAATTACCACAGTTTTTAGAGACTATCCATGTACCTATAGCTAAGAAACTCTCTCTTTTTTTTTTTTTTTAAAGAAAATTCTTCTGATGGTGAAGTTTCCCTATAATGATCAGAAGTAGCTGTGATGGCACTGACAGAAAGGCATCTATAGAGGGTTTCCTGATATTGTGTACCTCCTACTAGTACAAGCGATTACTTGAATACCACATGAGGTGGGAGAATGTCAAAATAGATCCAAAGTCCCATTTAGCACGTTAGTTCCTTCTGTGAAAGAATATATGGAAAGAGACAGGGAGGATCTAAGTGGAATGCTAAGAGTAGCATTCTCAAGACTAGGTTGAAATTTTGTGATTTAGAAAAAGCCTACTTACGTAGAAATTGAAAGGCATGCTACTTGCTCATGCAATCTTCTTTTACGTTTTCCTTAGGTTTATTACTGCTTATTTAGAC